GGCATGCCTTTCAATAGGTGTTATTAGTTCTTTTTTACTAAAGGGGAAAATAAATCCTAGAGATGTTATTGATGCCTGAGCAAGTGCTGGAAGCCGGTCCATCCTTGCTGCTTGACACAGTAGCTGCAAGAAAGAAACATCTGCACAGCATATGTTTCAAGGGACCTGGTGTATATAGCATACTGTTCTTAATATGTTTGCCCCCCTTAGCGCTGTGTGTTTTAACCAAGGTCACCTCTCCGAGAAAAGTTGTTTCCCCACGTAGGGATTTTTCCCTGAAGTCAGGGAGGGGATAAAACTCCTTAACTAAGTGCCAGACGGGTAGTTAATCACTTTAACTACAAACAATCATGCTTAAGCTACGTAATCTTTACTCCCTGGACTGGAGATAAGAAACGCCCTAACCTTTGGAATAGAGATTGATAGGATTGGAATCAACTGGTATAAATACAGTGGCAAAATTAAGATTTTCACCTAGCTCTTAAGTTCATTTAGTTGGGCCCTAACCGGTTTGGTTCAGTGGGTAGAGTGTTGGCCTGCGGACTGAAGGGTTCCAGGTTTGATTCAGGTCAAGGGCATGTATGTACCTGGGCACATCCCCAGTAGGGAGTGTGCAGGAGACAGCTGATCAATGTTTCTCTCTCAACATCAATGTGTCTAACTCTCTATTCCTTTCTCTTCCTCTCTGTAAAAAATTCAATAAAATGTATTTTTTTAAAAAAAATTCATGTTAGTTGGATTGGAGAAGAGAAAGATGAACTGCATGTTAAAAAATCTTTTGAAGTGTTTCATGACATGTTCCAAGAGCTCTGGATCTTAGAAAGAAACAAACAGAAACACAAAAAAGACAGATAAAGTTAGTTCCTTAAATTTATGTGAAATTCCATTGGTTGGGACCCAGCAAAGCACTTCATACAACTAAACATTTCATAGAGGTTTGAGGCTTCTTCTATATATACCTATATCTTTGTTATTGGCAAAAAAAAATTTAATTTTTATCAGCAGTTTTCCAAGAGGAGATTATCTATCAAATAATTTAAAACCATTTTTGGAATAGAGTAATGGGTAAGGGTCTTTACATTAAATCATGCCTATGGAAACAGCCCCTTAGTCAAAAGAATTTAATACTGATTAGAATTACAAAGCTATATGTTTAGAAAGGTTTCTGTGTTACAACTGAGATGTAAAAGAAGCCTAGAAAGGTGGGGGCGTGGGGAGGTGGCCATAAGAGAATCTTCCACAGAAGAGATGGGCTTTCAATTGAACCAGCAGGAGAAAGAGCATAAGCAAAGGCATGAGGTCAGATTGGGGGAAGTGAGACACGTTTGATGAAGTCTGAAGAGAGCAAACATCCTATTGAGAGGAACAGAAGAAAGCTGTGAAGAAGTTGGGGGTACATTTTAATCCCAGTTAGGATGCTCTCTGTTGCCCAGCAGACACCTTCATTTTCTTCCCTCTCAATTATCCTTGGTCTATGACCAAAAAGTTTTAAGTGATTTCTGTATCAGGATATACCAAAAACACCACAGTGTTAGCTAAGCTATAAAAAGTCCATAATCCATTCCAAAGCTAACCGCAAACAGCTTTCAGATTTTATACCATCCTGCACTATTCATTCACCCTCTTCCCTTCGTTATGTAGATTTTGGAGATCTGCCACCATATTAGAAATGGAAAGGTTTCCAAAAGGGAGAAACAATTAGCTCCTTCCCCACAGCACCACTGTATTTATCTATTAGTATCAAGCAACTTTTTTAAAGTACATCGTTTTGTGAAACATTTGCATGCACGATACTGTCTTTGTTGTTTCCCATGCTGCCATGATCGGGAACAGTGGTCAGCTTCAGTCCAGAAGAGCCTGAGGTAACCATGGCTTTCCGAAAGCAAACTCAGAAGTATCATTGTGCCCCGCAGATCTCAAAACAGGCAAAACAGAGCGAGAGCTGCAGAGGCACGGCTTCTGCCTTGGTTTTCTGTGTTAATGGGGCCACGTGGGTGCACACTGGGTGGTGTGTAGGAGTAGACTTCACTTACAAAAACAAAACAGCTGTAACAAACCAGGCCAGGTTTACCTGGGAACCATTCAGGACATTGGCATTATGTACCCACCTGATCTGACAAATTTCAGAAGTTCAGATGGGCACGCTTCATCACCGTGAGTACAGTCAGCAGGATGTTCAGGGGACACATGCCCTGTGCCTCCCGTTCCTTTATTCTAGTGACATTTATTGACTTAGGCATTTGAAATGTCCTTGGTCTTCAGCCCAGAAATCAAAGACTCCTCTTGGTGTCAATGTTCAAGTACATTTTTGAATGGGAGAATCTTGAACTTCTGCCCTTTCTTGCTTCTTTTCCCAGCATACAAAATTCACAAGTGTCACTCTATGAGGCATTCAACATTGTTGCTGTCAAAACAAATGTTATATAATTCCTTTTCAGGATTATTTATTTATATCCTGGTTTTTTTCCCTTCCTCTTTCAGAAATGAAAAAAGAGTGTGGCATGGAGACTCAGATAATACACGGTGCACATGGAAATATACATTTATTGATCTATCCTACGAAATGCTGGGAGACTCAATACAGAAACAGACAATGGCCAGCTTATATGACAACAGAACTCCCACCCACAGGCTCTGCAGCAGTGCGTCCAGGAAGCCAAGAACCGTGTCTGCAGCAACTAGTCCAGAACAGCCAGGACTTCTGCCAGCTTTCCTCACTTTTGCTCCTACTTCCAACTCATAACCAATCAGAAAAAACACACATATGCCTCCCTAATTAGTAATGTAGGATGTTCCACTTCTAGATAACCTACCACCAGCTTCCGCATTACAACAACCTCAAGGGCATACTTGAAACTTTCCCTTTTTTCACTATAGAGTTTTCTTACTCCGTGGTCTGCCTGTGAGTCTACACCAAATTTAAGCGATGGTGGCTGATTCACTCGCTATAGCAAACTCTGAGTAAATAGCCTCTGTGTTTTCTCATTTGAATTGTCTTTGTTTATGTCCACAATGCTCTCCTCTCAAGACCCTGATCAGTCCAACATGTGGTCAAACCACCCGGTAGTTACCTTAAAAAATGTATTGGGTTCTGCAAGTAACTTTCAGGCACCCAAACCTCATTAATCTTGTTCACCCATCCTAAAAATAATCAGACCAAGGGGGGAAAAAGTAGATATCATCACTCTGACTTGTGCTATTTATTGGTTCCTGCTTATGTTTTGAATATTAGGTGTTTATTTTGGACTATACCAAAAGAAGACACCAACAACTACAAGAACAAAACAAATTTTAATTTCACCTTGGGGAAATCAGTGTCAGTATGTGTGTCAGGAGCTGTGGTTCGGTCGGTGACAGTGTACGGCTTCTTCTGCAGTAGGTCCGTATTGCCAGGACTTCAATTAGACTACAACAAAAGGATGTTTCATTAAGGTTTGTCTGTTTTTTGCTTTGCTATTCCCTGATGTGGCATCTTTTGCCAGTAGTATTGCCCTACTTATAAAATAACTAGTATCCACCATACAACTCTCAAATTTTATTAACAGAACATGTTTGCTCTCTTCTCAGCAGGACTTGTACTCAATACAGTTTTGACATAGTTAGATGTTGTGCTCTGGCATCATGATCTCCTTTTCTTGTGTCCTTTCACTATGGCCTGTCTTCAACTTCCTCTGCTTCTTATTTGAAAAACTGCTCTTATTAGCATAACCAATGGACACAGACACTGGGGCGGTGGGGGCTTGCCTGGGGTGGGAATGGCTGGGGGTTGGGGGGTGTCAATTGGGGAAAAAGAAGACATATGTAAAACTTCAGACAATAACAATTTTTAAAAATATATATATTTTTTAAAAATCCTGCTCTTAAATGTTCTGATAACTAAACAACATTGACATATGTAGGACTGAAAAGACTGATTATAATAGACTTTAATATGCTGTTGTATTTGACAGAAAATACAATACATTT